TGTGTGTGTGTGTGTGTGTGTGTGTGTGTGTGTGTGTGTGTGTGTGTTCATCAGATGGTACCACGGTTCGCTGTCGCGTTCGGAGGCAGAGTCGCTGCTAACGCTGTGTAAAGAATGTAGCTACCTGGTGAGAAATAGTCAGACCAACCGCACCGACTACTCCCTGTCCCTACGGTAAGACACACACCCCTACACTGACTGACATACCACAACAAGCTAAGCAAACACCTGTGCACCTTCAGTATCATTCTCCAATAAACAGTGTTACAATTTAATTGCAAATTAAAAAATAATTCTGCCATGCGACTGAGAAGTGTGTGTGTGTGTGTGTGTGTGTGTGTGTGTGAAGCCACCTGAGCTACCGATCTCATATCGCAGTCTTCACACCTCTCCATCTGTCTCTCCCTCCTCTGTCTCCCTTCCACCATCACCCCCACTCAAGATCACTGCCGCACTGATTCCTCTCCCGATACTCATTTGCAGGGCACAATACTGCTTATCTGGTCAAACCTCTCCCTTGTAATTACTACCGCAATCCATTGTCCCGGCCTCACACTGCCCTCCCATCATCCCTCTGTCCTCAGCCCATCCTTGGCCCCTCTCTGGGGCCTTCCTATGTGGCCCCAGCGGGCCTTCTAAGTGGTAATCAGGCAGGTAGAGCACACTTGAGTGCACACATCATCCTCGCCATAATCACTAATGAATATGAATTACCTTCTGTGGGCCACACAAGAAGGGAATCCGGGAGGGAAGTAAGGGGGGGGTGACATATAAACAAGCTCATGCATTACTCATTTACATGAGTAGAGTGGGTTTGACAAGCACACACACACATGCACACTTGCTCAAGCAACAAGGTCACTACTGGCAATGGTTTCCTAGCTGGCGCATGTTAGGTTTGTAAGTAGTGAATTCTTGTGAAATGGCAAAATCTGTTATTTAGCTTGGTTAGAATGTGGGACTGTCCTTCATTGCCCAATCTGTAAAGACTCGAAGCCGCTTAGATCTCTAATCGGCTTAAAGGGAAACTTTAGTTTCATACGGCCTTTATTGTCTTAGTTTTGGCCATCTAACCAGTAATGACAGCTAATTGCTGGTATCGAGGAACAGAACAACACCAAAAATAAGTCTGAGGTGGCAAGAAACAAGAGCAATCTGATGATCATACAGGTTTTGAAGTAAGCTCCTGATCAGCTAAATGAATTTGGAAGAGAAGATGGTAAAAAAAGCAAAAGTAAACACCCACAATATTACCCAAACTCATATGTAGTCATAACTCCATCACAGTTTAAAGGCTTTGACCTACTTTCACGTTCCTTACATTCCACTGTCTGACACTAATCTACCCCTTGTCCTCCAGTTCTGTAGTCTGCACATGCCAAGGGACGACAATAACCTCGAGTGTTATCTTGTGTCAGGTATTTTGCATCAGGGCCATTTACTGGAATGCACACTTGAGTGATCTTGCATTCTGTTTGTCTAGTATGCCTGGAGAGAAGACTGAAAGCTTGTGTATGTATTCAAAAAAATGTGCAGAAGTTGTTGTTTTTTTTATACCAATTGTTATTGTCCTTCGAACACCAAAGCCTTTCAGCCAGATGACTGATGTACACCGTAATCCTTTGGGTTTTACCTCCAAACACAGCGCTTTAGAGATTATGGTTACAAACCAATGGCTTGTTTGTTTGATCCTCAGACATCGGCAAATACTTTGGTGGGTGCTATGTTATCATGGCAGATAGAAACGGCCACCAAAACTACAGTATTAAGGCCTAAGTTGTAATATATTTAAATTGAGCTTTTATGTCTCCACTCAGTCATGTCTGTGTCTAGACTGGAAAGAAACAGTAGGTTGGTCTTCATCAGGGTGTTGTGACTGGTTTGCTGACGCTACCTTTGTGATTGTCAATGTACCCTACAGCAAGGACAGCTTGTGTAATATCAACAGCTAAACTATGTGAAATAATGCAGCTAGCCTTGGAAAAAGTGAACCTCACCTCATGTAAGATCTGATAGTAACGTGGACAACGGGAGGAATGATGATGGTTGTTCACTGGAGACCAGATGAAGAACATGAAAAGTGAGTCGGCACTGAAACAGACAGGCCTGCCAGAATTAAACCAGCATGAATATTTATGGAGGAGCTCTGGTACGTTCTAATGTATCATGAGGTACAAAGAGTCCCCAAAACAAACGGGACCGGATGAAAGCGTGCTGTCAACTCCGAGTGATGAAGCGTCTGGCTCTTGAGGCCAGTGGAACAAATCATAAACTGTTGTTTGGCTGTTTGTAGTCACAGCGAGTGTTTTTTGGGGGGTTTAACTTCTCTATAAAATTTAATTTGGTTGACTAGAACAATGACAATTATGGGGACCGACTTCAACCGTCCTCTTTCCCTCTGCTTCTATAATTAGACATACATCATGAGTGGCTGGCTCTTAAAGGGGAAGTCCTGTCGTGGCTGAATATCACTTAAAGGGAGGAAGCCAGTGTGCTTCTCTCGGCTAAGCCGCTTTCACAGTCCAGCGTTCGTCTTACTCCCTCTGGCTTTTGTCTTCCCCCCCCTGAGCTGTTACACCACTCATTCATCCATCACAATGTCCCGTCCTTCCTAATTTGTGACATGGTGTTAAATCTTGGTTGGAATCATGTCCTCCGAGTGCAGAAAAAAAAAAAGACGTGAACATAAATCCGGGCTGTCATTTCCACTGTGTCATTATGTGACAAAATGTCTGACGTTTTATGTGCCCCACATTTCATGTCATCCCTCTCCTACACTCCTCTCTCACTTTCATATTCCATCTCTCCCACTCTCTTTCCTCTTTTGTCTCCTTCCATTATAAACCCTTTCTTCCTGTTTTCTCCCCACAGGAGCTGCCAGGGTTTCATGCACATGAAGTTCACACAGTATAAAGACGGCAAGTACGTGCTGGGACAGAACAGCCCTCCCTTTGAGACCATCCCAGAAGTCATCCACTTCTACACCACGCACAAACTCCCGATCCGAGGCGCCGAGCATCTGTCTTTGCTGTTCCCCGTGCTGGTGCAGACACTCTGACGCTCCTCCTGGACCTCCGGGACGTCGTTGTGATCGGACACGTAAAGCTTGAATGTTTGATGGGATCTTCCCAGCGGAGTGAACCGCTCTCTCTTCTTGCTGGACTGGAACTACAAGAAGAGAGAACTGGACTACTTCTGATGATTCAACACGCCGTGGGCTAATGCCCTCGCCCACCACTGCTGTTGTACTTGCGCCAAGTGTCTCTAACATCCAGGGGATCGATTCACATGAAATGCAACACCTGAACTTTAGGCAGCCTTTGCTGTAACTTCTCTCTCGTTTCCTTACTGAACTGAACTTTATTACACGTCTTTCACAGCTGACTGAAATGCAGAAGAAGTTAGCAGAGCTGGAGCTGGGAGAAAGTCTGAATGTACTGATACCCCAGTTTATGGGAAATTTACATTTAATTACTGCTGTTCCACAAAAAACACCTCATTGACACTGGTAAAAAATATTGCTGTTGTAAGGTGAAAACCTCACTAGTCATATTTAGCTGATCTTTCATTAAATTGTCATCCTCGGGCTTGGGAGACCCTGTCGTAAGTAAATGTTGGAAAATTACATTTTCCATGAAAAAAAAAAAGAAGCTATTTTCAAAGATATAAGGTTTTTACCAACAGCAGTTATATTTCGGATGCTTTTCTACACAAAGCCGCACCTGCTAATCTTCACCCAGTCTGCTCTGCACTGTCGTGCTGCTGTACGTTGAGGATTTGCTGGACACATCTCCATGTTACTGTTAGTTCCTCCTGAGCAACAGAGACTCTGTGTTTTATTGGTACTTGTGTTGACCTCGCTGACCTGGATCTCTTGTCGTTTGCTTGCGTTTTGTTTGGTAGACAATGCTGGGTTTGTAAAAAAAAAAAAAAAGGCAACCTGTCACTGCTGTCATTGTTTTCTCACTGACTTAAAGTTAAGCTTGTAAGCTGAGATGCAGGAAACACAACTCTCAAACTTTGTGACTGTCGACCGCGTTCTCACACTTTCTACATATTTGAGCGCAGATTTTTCACTCGGCCGAGTCCTTACATGCTAGTTGGTGAGTTGTGTTTGAGTTACATGCGTGCCATCTGGAATGGGTTCCCATGTCTGCTGCCTGGTTGCAGCATTTTGTGGCAAACACTGATTTTAGAGGAGAGCCAACTTCCTCCAAACATTTTATGAACATTGGAAATGACAAATGGAAAAAATATTTTCATCATTTCTTCTTTATCCAAAATTTACTGGGTTGTATTAATAATTATTATTATTATTATTATGGGCAGTTTATGTCACTAATAAAAAGATGATGGGATGTATAATTTACCCGCTGTGTTAAAGCGTCTCATCTGTATATGCACAGTGTTGATTCTACATGTAGATCAGTGGTTCCCAACCTCGGGGGCTGGGACCCCCCAGCAGGGGTTCGGAGATGAGTTGTCTGAAAAACCAAATTCTGCTACACGCAATCATGTTTATTTTCAGACTGGTGTAAGGCTTTCTCTCATTTCTTGTGAAATACTGTGTATTTTTTTTACGCCTCAAAAACAATTTGAGAAGGAAAATCTTTTTTTTTTTTTTGGTCTTGTCTTTGATTCAAAAAGAAAAGACTTCCAAAATATTACCGTTTTCATGCAATACACTCATTAGACTCACCCGGAAAGAAGGAAGAGAGGCACAAAGGACTTGGCAAGATCGCGTGCTCCACACACTCAAAATGCACGCACATTTGCTTTCCCTCATCCACTGACGGTTGGGAGGGAGAGGGTGAGGAGTACTGGGGGGGGTGAGGTGTGGCTGAGGAGGGGGGTGAGGCAGCCCTCATTATTTGGGCTGCGCTGCAGTGAAAAGCACTGGGATTGCTTTCATTACTGAGCCAAATGAAATAGCAGAGGCTGATTACCCGCGTGACGGAGAGAGGAGACGAGCTGGATCACTCTCTGTTGGGGAGAAAGTGAAGGAAGAAAAAAAAAAAGAAAAAAAAGGGAGGGAGACGCTGCCTGGCTGTATTTCCCCAATGAGACTCCAAACGTGTGTGTGTGTGGGTGTTTGTGAGTGTAAGCGAGAGAGACGGTGACATGGAGGGGGGGGCTGCTATAGTCTCATTTTTCAAACAAGGCTCCCTGGGGAGGGATATGAATATTAACGACGGTGGCAGTGCAGCATGTAAAAATCAAACAAATATCTCACTCTCATTTCTCTGGCTTTTGTGTAGCGCTTACCTTGTCTCTGCTTTTTCTTTTTTTTTTTCAGTATTTCATAATTTCCCTTGGCTAATTTCTAGTAGACTGAAGGATACCTAATCTAAAGCTCTATTCTTATTGGGCATTTGTGTAGTTTGGAACAAATGGCAACGTCCTTACAGCGTTATGACAATCTACACACACCAGAATCATGGTATGTGTGTGTATGTATGTGTGTGTGTGTGTGCAGCTGTCATGTCACAATGTGTGTAATGTCAGATCTGGGGGGGTGCCACCGGTTTGGTGGTGACTGCAGCTGTTAATCCATCAGACATGCTTGGAGGAATGAACACCTGTGAACAACGCAGAGCCAGAGTACATGTTGGGAAACAACCTAACATGCACACACGCATGCTTGGCCTAACATTATTTTATTAAATAGTTGGATAAGAGATTTTAACATGTTCATATCAAAAAGCACGGGTGTAAATGATACAGTGAATTATGGCCGAATTCCATTTAGGTGCTTCAGTTTCAGGGTCCTGGTGTTTCGCATGATGGATCGCTGACACGCTGTCATGTCTTACTGGGACACGAAAAAAAACAACAAATTAGCAAGTTAAGGAAGTAAAACATTTTAGAAATAAGTCAAACATTTCACATCAAAATTTCGCCATTTTGCCCAGAGCTCTCATCAAAAATACATTTTGATCTCAAGAGGGAGGTTAAAGGTTACATAAGATAAAACAGTTAAAGGGGACTTCTGTTAAAGGGGTTTTACAGCAATTTAGCACTGCACCTCCACGAAGTTGGGGGACTTGTGAGGGACAGATTTGTTGCTCATTATTTAGTAGTGAGTAAGATTTGAAACCAAGTTGTCCGAGGCTCACGCATGAGTTTCACACTTGAAGTCTTTCATGGGTGTCTTCGCCTGCCGTTGCTCTTTTTACACGACACACAAACACTCCAGGCTGCTCGCAGGGAATCAGCCAGCTGTGCACACGCGCTCAATGCCACAAGTGAGCAACGGGACACGCATGTCACACTAGAAGGCTGCCGTCCTCCTCCTCACTTATCCCCCATCACAGACACGCTAATCCCAGCAGTTGCGGGTGTGGGGGAAATAGATTGGAGGTCAGTTGTGAGCAGGTGTGTGCATGCCGTCAGGCCCCACCAGAGGACCGCAACCACAGAGGGTTTGGAGAGAAAGCAGCTGCTGTTTTGGGAGATTTTTTTTTGGGGGGGGGAGGGTGGTATTGACTTTGGCATAGATTGCTTATCCACTCCTGCCACCTATCTGTTATGGTAGGATGGCAATGAAAGGCCGTGTGCATAGTGTGCGAATACAGTTCTACTTCATTTAATCAGGTATGCTACTCTTTTGCAAAGAGAGTCCTGAGTGCAGAAGAAGAAATAGAGCAGAGATAAAGCAGTTGCTTAAGTTAATGTAATTGAGTGATCTTCATCTTCAATCAATGTATTGTGTGAAGTACTGAAGAGCAGTCTTCTCAGGGTCAGTATTTACTCATACGGTATGTGTCCCGGTCCTGGGATTCGTATCCCCTTCATAAACACTGTTAACTCTGTCATCATCGGGCTGTTTGTGTCGTTAGCTGCGAGCTGCCGGCTCAGCTGTCACCATGTTGAGAGCCGTGTGGAAGCAATAGATATGCTCTGAATTTGACTTTTAAGGTGCAATGAGCAGCACGAGACATGATGGTTGACTGCACAATGGCTTTCCTGCCCTCAAGAGAAACACCGAAATAATTCTCACATGAAAAATACACTTATTTAAATGGAGTTGATTTATGAAATACTCAATTAAGAGAAAAATAAGTGAGAACAATTTTGACAATCAATTAATCATTTCGGTGGTTGATGGTTCCCGCTTCTCAAATGTGAAGCTGTTTTTCCAGTTTATATTTTAAATGTGTTTGTTTAGACAAAAAAAAAGCAATTTGAAAACCACCGTGGGCTGTGGGAGAATTGAGATGGAGCTTTATCACTATTTTCTGACATTTTAGAGGACAAGCAATTAATCAAAGAGATGAATTAGTTATAAAAGCAAATGTTAGCTGCAGCCCTACAAGGCACACATTAGACTCAGGACTCCTATTTAATAAGACATCCTATAGAAAGGAGGCAATTGTTGTTGCTTCAGGAGACAGAAAATAAAAACATTCTTTTTCTACTTCGGTGGAGTTTCAGAAGCAATACCAGAGTCTTGATCCGCACTACAGGAGATTAATGGCTGTGGGGTGTTGAGGGGGATGCTGGGAGGAGTGTCCACCAATCCAAGTCTCAGCCAGCTCCTTCAGATATCCTCCCACCAAATGACCTTTACCTTGGCTCCCCCCCCCCCCAGGTTGTTCCCAGCTGCTCCCTGGATGAAGCCCTCTGATCCCGGGGAGCTTATCAGCAAAGTCTGCCTGTCTTCACTCTCTTTGTTGCACAAGTAATTACGCAGCTGTGGAGGTGAAGGTATAGGGGAGGAGAATCACCACATGCCACATAACTGTGTGGGCCTCCTCTGGTGCAACTCGGCTGTAGAGGAGAGAATGGCTTCAGCTGGGGGCTCCCTGCATGAGCGGGCACCTCCAACGGGACCCCTCGCCGATCTCCGCCTGGCCCCACTCCACCTACACGCTGCTTCGAAAAGGGGACTTGAGAATGAGAGAAGTGTTTCATACTGGCACATTCAGTAGCTCGGACCAGATGGAGTCTTTGTTCTTTCTCTCAAAAACACTCGAGGATGCTTACACACGCGTCTCTCTGTCACATGCAAATGCCCACATACACACATATACACACACACACACACATACACATGCATGCCCATTTCCTCACGGTATAAAACCAGGATCATGAGGACAGGGGGTGGTGTGATTCTCTTGTCCTCTGTCGTGTTCACATCAGTCATATGCAAATAGGCATTGTGCACAGAGAATGACACAAATCCACCATGTCTAAATCCTCAAAGAAGACTGGTGACGGCCATTTAGTTAACATGATTTATTAAGGTGTTTAACCCAGGTAGCACATGCAACCATTAAATGGTGTTTGTTTCTGGTGTTTGGACAAATGGAATCTGTCATCTTCTGGAATTTGAGGACATGAAGAAGATTAAAATGAAAAGGAATTTATGAATCTCTACTGAACATGTTTGAGCTATGTTTTCTTAGATAAAGATTGAAAGGATGATGAAACTGAGTCTGTGGATGAGAACAGTTGGGTCTTTCCTGCTCATCTTCATCGTGTGACTATTTTTCCCCTCAAAGGTTAGTATTTTTAACCTGGACCCTATTTCGCCATGTTTTTGTGTCTAAGTGTCTAACGGCGACAACGATTTTAAAATTGAGTCCAATATTGAGGGAAAACGTTGCAGCCAGGAGCCGCTAAACGATTGCTCGGGGCAATTCCTCACCGTCGACGAACGTCCACTAAAGTCGCTTGTTATTGCCACTGAGAGGCTGAGGTTGTTATAAACATGTCTAAGAACCGTATGGAAAGGACCCCATGGAGGAATAAAAACGTTTCTCTTTACCTTTCGCTTAATCCAGTCTGTTTGTTATTGTGTCGAACCAAGTCCCGCTCAAGGAGAAGTCACGTTCTGAAATCTTGCATCACATCCACATTGTCAAAATCTGCTAAATATTTCGCCATGACATTGAGAGTTGTTTAGATTATTACACCAAGCTACGCTTTCTGAACTCCAACACAATAAACTCTGACAACGCTCCGACAAACACTAGCACTCCTCTCACTTAAGTTTTCATTCTTAATATCAATTGCAAGTTTGAATTCATCACATGATGGTAGATATTAATAACTTAGCACCGTTTCATATCCTCATGTGTTTGTTTAATCTGTAAATTGAGCACAATTCAGTTGTATGTAATCACCATTGGGGACATTTGAGCTGATACACAACTGAACTTTTCAATACGTTCGATATGAAACCTGAAATCGTATTATTATTCTGAACTTCTTTGGTTCCTCATTTTTGGTCGATCTTTCTAGTATTTGTTCTTTAATTTGGATTTTTTCTTCAATGTTTCCAGTTAAAGGGAGTTGGATCCATATTTTTGAACAACAGTCTGTCTTGTTATTGGAAGGTTTTTCCAAAAGCGATTTTATCACGACCTTCTCTATTATCTATTTTGGGAATATATTCCATGCCACAAGTTTTTTGGCTTGAGACGAAGACCTTCTGACTTTGTATTTCCCAGGTATACAGCTTAGTTGTCTAATTGATGCCACTGAGCAATTAGCTGGCACACCTGGTATTTATTAGCAGTCGCTTCCAGAAACGTCCTACTTCTGCTGAAACTGCATCAATGCTGTCCTCTGTGGAGTAAATCTGTATGTTGTATGTTCACCTGGTTATCTAAATTACTGACGATGAAAAGGTCTAATGTTCTTTATATTATTCACTTGTGTGGACGTTGTTTTCCTTACTGCTCCAAACTGATTTTCTGAGACATTTGAAAGACATTTGAATCAAACTAAATCTAATGAGGAAATAGGAACAAGTTGGAGCAGAACAGTGAGAATGATAAAAAGGAGCAGAAGGAGAGAGGGATTCACTGACTACAAATGACGCTGGAGCTCAACATTTTGTCATTTTCCTATGTTCCAGATGGCATAAGGCCACCGTCATCCCCGGCTAATTCAAGAAGGAGAACATTTCTGACAGGAAGGAGCCAGTGACATTTAAACTGGAAATGCGCGGCTGTTACTGCGTCCTTGCTGTCCTTTTCCATCAGATCCGGAGGTGCAGAGCAGAGACACATCCTTCAGTTCAGGTGAGTATGAAATGCACAGTCTGTCAGCTCCTGTCTGGTCTTTGCTGTGCAATGCAGTGTGAACAACAAACTCTGCTGCAATCAGCCAATCATCTAATCGATTCAAGTCAAAGTAACCTTCACTGCTGCGGGTTTGTCGCAACGAAAAAACAAACGCATGAATTAAAAATCAGCATCTAGACAACAAACTTGTATCCACTTGAATTATCTGATCATTTCTCACAACCAAACCCTTTCCACAATGCCACGTCATATTCTTTTTTTATCTCAACGCATCCTTTAAATGTTTATGTAAAAAGCGTCATGTACATACTGTTTGAATTGTAATGTAACGAAACCTCAGTTTTAAATTTAAACAGAGATAGGAGACTTTTCACAATAGGAAGCTCTTCAAAGTCAGATTCCTGCAGTATCTTTCATGACTAACAGCTGTGACCTCGTGGAGCTGGAAACCCTTGGTTGAAATAAATATCAAAAGTTTCTCTGCATTATTCATAACCCTGGCTGACCCAGGTCTACTTATGAATTGGATTGAGAGGGCATCAATCAGCTTCCCATTAGGATATTTAATGAGTGCAGCCAGGTTAAATCTCATGACACTTCTCTTCTTCTGTCTGAATAACTGACAAATCGGAGCATTTGTGCATTTATATATGTATGACTTAAGCTGTTATGTGACTACAGACGGATCTACGGTTCATATGGTGCAAAAACGTGCAGACAAAATGTCTGGTTTTCCTGTAGACCTTAACAATGTTTGCAGAGGACCAACACAGACTGAGTATGGCTGAGAGGACGGGGGTTGGAAGCGGGCAAGTCATTGATTGAATATCAAAACATGACACGTGTGAAACTCTCATAAAAGGCAATAGGATTTTATTTCATTTGCTATATAATGGTATCAGGCACTACACCACCCTAGACAGAAATGTAATTTACAGTCTACCACCATTAAATAATTCACATCCAACACTCTTATTCACTAGTGGTTAGTAGACGTGTGTGAGTGGTTTCTAGATGAGCTGATCAGAAGCAAAAATGTCCAGTTGATGCTGACACAGTAGAGCTTAGATAAAATATGAGTCAGTCCTGCTAATGTAGAACTGAGCTTGAATTGTCCAAAAATGGCCACCATACAGATATCGAACCCTACTGATTAGAGTTTATCCTGTAGCACCACCGCGAGGACAATCTTTACGCTCTTGCCCACTAGTGGTAAGAATCTAATAATAGCAATGTTGCTGCCATTTGTCATTCATCCACCACTTTTGATTTGTGGTGTGTGTGTAATGAGTATCACAGCCTAATGAGGCCGCTAGTCTGATAAACAAACCATTGATCCTGTTCGCTCTCCCAGTGCATCTCAAATCATAACAAAAATCAATAACTAAGTCCTAGTACCGTGGTGTTTTCTATGCACACAACCTATTTTGAACAGGAATACCAATAGTATTAAGATGGCAAATGTTTTCACAGAAAATAAATACTTTACCAAATCCAGTTGTGATGGAAAATGCAGGTGCTTTAAGAGTGCTTGCATATAGCACATGCAAAAGAAGTGCCCCAAATTAATCTTCATTGTTTGTAAGGACACAATAAAATAAACGCATCGACAGACACGACACTAATAGTGTTAATTATACACATTTGATTTTTGAAGCATTACCAAGTCTAGCTTCAGACATGAATTAAGACGATATATTACATTTGGGGCTTGGTTTAATACATGTCTATGAAATTGTCCTATTATATTTCATAACGTTAATCATAGTGTAGGACAAACACAACATATCAGTAACTCTGGTGTCGTGAATAATATTGCTGAGTTGTTGTAAATAGTGGCTTTAAGTGATTTTGATTGTACTCTCATCTGCATTACTATCGTTCCAACTGAATACCATCCATTGCTACACTGGTCATAGTGCATAAACAAAAAGTGGCTGATAGCAGGACTATTTCAGTTCTGCGTCTTCTTCTGTGTGACTGCAAAGCCTCATTAAGGTGCTTCCACTCAGAACTTGCTGAGGGTCGGCAGCGCCCCCGCCTTCACCAGCACAGCTGAGAGCAGGTCTGCAGGCCCGGAGGGATGGGGCACAGCAGTGGCTGAGGGATCTCCATGCTTGTTGTCAGCGTTGATAGGTGTGGGAACCTTCCCTCTATTCAGCGTGGACTTGCCAGCCCCACTGCCCCCTCCTGCGCTGGTCTTGCTGTTCTCCACTGTGGGGATGACCGTGCCCAGGTTGGGGTTACCCCCCACGGGAGTCCCAGTGTGCTCCATGCTGGTCTGACAGCAGCACAGCTGCCTGAAGAAAGCCGCCCTCATCTCCCTGCTGGACAGAGTGTATATCAGAGGGTTGAGGGCAGAGTTGAGCACAGCCAGGGCTATAAACCAGTCCACCTGGTAGAGCACAGGGCACTTATCTGGGCTGCAACCAACATCCAGCAGCAGCAGGAGGAAGAGGGGGGTCCAGCACATGACAAACACTCCAAGAACAATGACCACTGTCCGCAGCAGGGCCAGCGAGCGCTCTGAAGGCCGGCTGCTCACCCTGCGGCCGCTAGAGGTCACCAGGCGGTAAATCCTGATGTAGAGGATGATGATGGCCACCAACAGGGCGCTGAACACACTGATGCAGAAGGCCACATAACTCTTAGCATAGAGCGGCAGCACTGTGGAGCAGGAGGCCATGTTGTCCAGGCAGTTCCAGCCCAGGCTGGGCAGGGCACTGAGCAGCAATGACACGAGCCAGCAAGCTACCAGCAGTCCAAGAAGTCTCCCCCGACCTGCTGTCTCGCACGGACGCAGGCGCACCATAGTCATGTGCCTCTCGATCCCAATTGCCAGGAGGCTGAACGTGGATGCGCTGAGGGCCACAAACATGCTCCCTTCTCTAGCCAGCCACTGCAGCGGCGTCAGGAAGTAGGTGTTGCTTCCTGAGGTGAAGATGTTGACCACATAGGCCACGCCGGCCAGCAGGTCTGACAGCGCCAGGTTCCCAATGAGGAAGTACATGCGGCTGTGGAAGCGCTTGTTCCTCCAGAGAGTGAGCAGGACCGTAACGTTCTCCAGAACGATCAGCACGCAGATGAAGAGCAGCAGGGCCATCTTACAGGCCCCGCTGCTGCGAGGCTTGTCCCACTTTCCTGAGTGGTTGTAGTGGCTGACGATGACGGCGTTCATCCCCTCCTCCAGCCGGTTCCCCATCCCGCCTGTCCTTCCCGGCCTTCCTCGGTCACACACAGCAGAGGGCGCCACAGCACTGGACACAGCGGAGTGAGGCGAGGCTGCTCAATCAGGCAGACTCACAACTGGCATGTTGGATCCTGTGAAGGACCTGTTAAGAGATCAGATACTCTATGAATTTTAACTCCGTTTCAATTTGAGATTTTGTTATTTTAGGCTGCCTTGAAACATCTGGCCGGGGACAGCAGATGGAAATTAGCCTCTCTGGCTAACTCTGGCTCACTTACAGTGCAACTGTTGATTAGTGTGCATTGTCCCTGAAAAATAAAAATAAAAATAAAAAAAGATTGATTTTTAAAAGTTATATTCAACACTTTAAAGTTACATTCAACATCATTTTGGATAATGTCTGTCAGAAAAAAAAATGTAGGACTCCTAGAGTATGAAAGTAATTGTTATGTAGAACATAAAAAAATAGCAATTAAGTTAAATATTAGGCCTACCTAATTCATAATAATGTATCTAATCAGGGAAGTTCATTACTGAGATTGTGTCCTGGCCAAGACAGCAAATGACATATTAATAAACAATATAAAACAGATTTATAAAGAAATTGATCAAATAAAAAATACAAGGAAGAAGTAGCAGCTGTAGTTTAGGACGTTACAACTTGATAGTAAACAAACAGCTGTGGCGGTTACTGCTGTTCATAAAATACGTGCCATACATTTTCTAATTTCTGTGACTTGTAAATAAACGTTGATGCAAAAGGTTCCAAAATAATCCTTAAATTATAGGGTACATGTAATTATGAAGTTGGGTGAACAGGGTTCTAGAAAATTGTGTAGCCCAAATTAATAACACTGTAAAAAAAATTTAAACAAACGCTATTCTCACTATCAAAATAAAATGGTTGGCGACGCTTTTACACTATTTCAGTTGAAAAAAATATGTTTACTCATGGAGGTCTGATCAACTTTCCTGTTTTGGAAAAGTTACTCAAAGTTAGGAGTGATCATTTGGAAACTACCTGAATACTCTGCAAAATAAAGTCTGCCACAGTATATTCTTCATCTACAGTAACGTATCGTACCTGTTGGAGTTACTGCTCTCATCTAAACATCCCGGTAGTTTTTGGTGAGATTTGAAGTTATTTGGAAGAGCCACTTCTCTCTCCTGCGTAACGATGCGCTCGTGTCAAAATATGCGTTTGTCAAAAATGGATGATCTACGGCGTAAAGTCAAAAGTCCACGTTTTTTTCCTTCCTCGCCCTCATAAAAGTTTCCAATCACGGAAGTATTCGCCTCCAAAAATCCACTTTGTGCTGCGTACTGAACTTCATCATTGTGGCGTCCTCCTCTCACACTGCGACTCCCTCCAGTTTGGACCGTCTCGCTCTCCTCACCCCTCCCAGCGCGGTGGGGCGGGATCTTACCTCTCCATTCGGTCAGGAGAGAGGTCAGAGCCACGCGTGTCGTTGTGCAGATTTGTCGCTTTGTGTTCATGAAGCTGCTTTGCATTTTTAAACAAGCAGGTTTGATTGATTTTGTTTTAGGCTATTTTTTTTTTAAAGTGTATAGTTTTATTAAAGAGTTTTGTTGTTGTCTGAGAACAGCCGACTGTTTCAGACAAGAACACTTAATTTGTCTGTGTCATAAAATTGCTGCACTTGCATGTACCAACACATGTGACAATGTTTTGCCTCAAGGCCTTATAAACTAAGTTGTGTCATCCTCTAATAGATAGCCTTCTACCTCTACTGTTCTGCTTCGGTTGCATATTTTCAGGATTGATGATAATGATGGATTCTCAACCAACCATGTCCCCTCTCAGTTCATTTTTTTTTGGACCAGAAAGCTCATCGTTATCTAAACGTTGACCCCAGTTTCATCAAAAAGAACTGACTTGTGTGTTTTTTCACCTTTCTGGGAATACACCCCCTCCACTGACGGCCAAGAAGTTGCAACCGGTTTTATATTTGCGATTTTGATGACTCATTGTTTTTCATGTTCAAATAAAAGATGACTGGATCTGTTTGCTACTTCAGAGTGTGAGATAGGTCAGACCTTTCCCATTGGAGCCAATAACGGATGGGGGAAGGGGAAGGAGTCGCACTTACTTGTCCTTTTATGCACTTTCTTAGTGTTCAGAGGAAATATGTCACTAAGAAGAAGGAGACAAGAGTCTTGTAGGCTGAATGTAGCTACGAGGTGCTGAATGTATAGCTATGAGGTCCTGCATATGGTTTCATCTGCAGTAGCCTACATGGGGTTGCATATACAAAGAGAAGGTTGGGTCATTAGGTCATAGGCAGTTAGAGACACCACAAGTGTGATGTTAAGTCACTGCTTTAAGATCTAAATGAGATCTAAATAAATTTGGTGGACAAATGATAAACTGTAGATCCCATCATGAGTGCATAATATGAGATTGGGAACGATTCGATTGGCTCTCAACATTGCGATGGCTGAGCTGGCGGCTCGTAGCTAGTGGTGCTAACGGCGCTAACAGTAAACTACGTCAAATGCGCAGAAAGAGCTAACAGTGTGTACCTGCGGGGGAACCGTGCAGAGCTGTGACCATCAGCTCCATCAGTACTCTCTTATACCGTGTACATAGAAAATGGTTGTATGCTGCTTAATAATGCTCTGAATGTCGGATATTGCTCCTTTTAATTTAAATGCCTTATCCCTGTGGGTAAAATAAGGCTTTTCCTTCGGCAACTTCCTGCCGCTGTGTGACTTGAGGACCCAACTGACGGGTGAGATCACAATGCCGGGACCACAGCTGGATGTGGATGGTGTGAAACATGCTGAGGATCATGTCTGACTCGCTCACTCCTCCTCTTCACCTCTGCTACTCCAGAACCAGCACCAACGCCCCACAGCCCTTCTCTGAACTGGATCTGTTACGTGTTTAAAAAAACAGAACGCACATTCCCATCAAATTCCCAAAAGCTATTATTCCAACCACTAAATGTTGCAATGGGTGGAAACAGAGGGGTAGGGGCTGTTACTTCTCATTGTTTATGCCAAGCATTTTTACAGTGACGGTCACTGGCTTTTGGCACCGTGATTTCACATTCAGCCAGTGAGATTGAGAAAGAGAGACAGACAATGGAAGAGGGGTCAAGGGACATCTGACCAGGAGCAGAGCAAAATCAGCTGAGGGAAAGTTTCTAGGGAATAGGAAAAAGAGCAGCGGAGGAGAGAAATGAGGCTCCAATTAAAAGGGTCAGTTGTAGGTGCACAGTGTTCTGTTTTTTGTCCCTACATGCTTCGATTTAGGTATTTTGAATACTGACTAACTAATGATGGAATGCATCTATTTGGCAGCTTAAGTTACTTTGATTTGACATATAAAGCATATGTTGAAAAAGATGTTGTGATGATTAAATCTTGAGAGTAGCTAGTGGACCTCATGGTGTGATTGTTTAGACAACCTTTGTGTCCAAGGTCAAAATCATACCTATAGTTGATTACTGTTCGAGGACATAAAAGACAAAAAGTCCCATGCATATGCTAAGAATTTATAGAATAGAGCAGGATATGTGTCTGCAGATATTGGATGCTTGTATAGCTTCAACCCAGCGGTGCTCAATAAAAATGTGATGCCAAGGCAAGGTGACCATCCATATCTGATAGCATGGTTTCAAGCCTCTCTAAAATAGCAAATTGTGGCTATGACGGGGCTACTGTGTTTTCTTTTTCTTCTTTTCTCTTTGCTGATGTTTGCTTCGTTTTTTTCAAACCGTCCATCTCTTCTGTTTTTTGTTTTCGTGCTCTTTGTTTTTGCTGGATCCAATGGGCTGAAATAGCATAGAACAGGCCAGAAATTGAGACTGTGATGGATGACGGTGTAGGCTAACAGTGACTGACAGTGTAACAAATGTTGATAAAAAAGAAGGCGAGATGGAAAGAGCAGGAGACTTAGGAGCGGCGGCTGACAGTGTTTCCCCCCTCCTTCTCCCTCTCTCTCTCTCTCTCTGTCCCACCGGTATCACTGATTGTGAGAGGTTACAGGCAGTCTGGCCCTCTTGCACATGTCAGCCCAGGCATTGCAGATTAATGAATGACCCCCAGAGCTGTTGACTTTACCCTGAGCAGCAAGAGATGTACAGGCGCTCTGACAACCCATTTATAACCATATGAAAATACCCCTTAGCTCTGTGTTGTTGCAAGCTGGATGCAGACTTCCTGGATGTTTGGTGCTGTGGTAGAAAAAGGAAATGTTGCTACAGGTCACCAGATCATGAAAAAAAAAAATGGCCGTGGTGCCAAGTCCTCTAAAAGTTAGTTGTTTCTGCATCTTTCTGTGTGAGGCTGCTGTGTGTTTGTGTGTACTGTATGTGTGCAGCAGCATTGTGAGTCAGGGCACACTGACGTAAGCTCGGGTGGTGAGTTAGATGTTTGGGAATGTAAAGTGTGGTGGGAACGAAGGAGAAGCTGCAGCGGTGGAAAAGCAAGGCCTCTCGGGCCGTCACCCCACTGCCCTCTCTCTCTACTCCTGCAGTTTACCCACACCCACTGAAAAAGTTTCCTCAAGAATTATAGAGAATGTTTGCTCAGCTCTACGAGCTCCAGCAGCATTTCAATATGACATGGATATAGATTTACAGTACAGTATGTAGATGTTGTGGAGGTTCAGACCAAACAGTGCTTTATTTATTGAGGAGAGATAAGAGACTAGTTTATGAACCTGACAATTGAACAACAACTGCTCCACTCCATCACTGTCTAAGTCTTGATGCTTATGAACACCATGCAATAGGAGCGGGTGTCTCTCAACGATTCGATTCAATGGCCCTGGAACATGTCAAGGAGTATAAATATTTGATGTGCCAGAGACGCTGTCGTTTTAGAGAGACCCAAACTGACAGTAATGTGCCTGGTGGTACAGAAAAGGGCAAGCGAACAAACACATCAACAACACTGAATGTAGTTTGATCTTGCATACATGAGACCGAGACAGAGAGAAGCATCATTTGAATGGATAAATGATGATTTATCTGTAATTATCTATCTCAACTGGGTAAAGGTTATATACTGGATTCAAAGCATTATCGCAGCAAACAACTATTGGTAATGTAAAGATGTAGTGGAGTTGGTGTCCAGAGCAGAGAATGAAGTTGCTCTTGCTCTTTGTGTGTCGTAATCCCAGTTTCTCTATGCTTTGTTTACATAAACCGGCTGGCCGTGCAACATTTTTGGGGCACATGAGTCTCTTTGTTGTGTCCTACTGACTAGCTAATGACTGTGGCTCTGCACTGCCGGTTACCGCTGACACCGTCTCAGCCAATGGTGTGGTCACCCCCCCGCAGGTAAACGCTGTTTACTCTGTCAGCACTGTTGCCACTGTTAGCACCGTTAGCTTCTAGCCGCCGGCTTAGCTGTTGCTATGTTAAGAGCCATGTGGAGACAATAGATATGCGTTGAATTCCAACGATGAGCACCTTAAACCAGCATACATTAAATACATACGACAATACATTAATCCTGCTGGCTCATGTAGAAGATAGCATTACCGGCTATCAGCTAAAGTTAAAATCATTAATGTTGGATGCATCACTCAGTGAGTGTTGTGTCTAGTAGGACCTACGGTTAAAGAAAGAAACTGGTCTTTATAACGGTTACGGAATAACTATCTGGATCCAGATCTGTCCATGCCTTAACTGTCCACCTAATTTCATTCAAATATGTAAAAACACTCTTCACAAGAGTTAAGAAATTCCTCGTAACTTTTGCTTTTTTTTTTTTTTTTTTTTACAATATGAATCCAATATTCCTGTTATTCTGGCATAGTTGTTGTTTTTGTACACAGATAATTGATAGTGTATCAACGTGGTGTTTTTTTGCATTGATGACATAGAAAGGATACAAATGTAGGTTGGACTCCCTGTCACAGTTCTGGATTCTGCAATTAGGGATTAACTATCAAAACAAGACTTCATTGTTTTTCCTTGGGGAGTTCTGTTCAGGAAGAGCTAAGTTTCAATCCTGGAAGAACACGGCACCTGTCTCCATTTCTACGCAGTTGCACAGTAACTGTTCCTTGGTTTGGGACTAAAGTGGACGATGATGATGCATTTGCTGTGGAGCACATTTTATTACACTTTAATCAAATCTGCTACATAAATACAATTATATATCCACTATAATCTCTGCAGGATATTACAACAAAAGCAACATTATCTCTATCTCGAGGACCATCACATATTTTCTTGCATGCAACATGGAGTATGTCTCTGTTGGAGGTCTTGAGTAGAGCTCTGCGGGCTGATAGTGTATCTGGAGTGGTGGTGCTCCTGGTGGGTTATCAGTGGAGGTCTGAGGTCTTTAAGGGCGCAAACTGACTGCTT